GGTTCACGTAAAGTGCAATGTCATGGAAGTTAGCATGTTTTGGGCAGGGAAATTATCTGACTAATGCTCTTTAAGAAGACGGCTCTGTGTGGAAGCATAGATTAGAAAGGGAACAAGCGAGGGCATGGGAAAATCAGTAAGGTTATGTCACACTGAAATTCCGTTTACACATCTGTACTCTGGGTGGTGCAAATGGTTCGTGTACTTGGCTGCTAACCAAAAGATTGGAGGTTCAAGTTCACTCGGGGACACCTTGGGAGAAAGTGATCTACTTCTAAAAAGCCATCCCCTGAAAACCTGTGAACACAGTTCTACTCTGATACACATGGGATCCTCATGAGTCAGAAATACACTTAGTACTTGTTTTCTCACTGAAGCCTAGACTCCTTAAAGACAAAAACCACGTCTAATTCAAGTGCATAGCAGGCACTCCAACGGTGTATTAAACCAAACTAAATGTGGTGAGTCAAAATGTATTGCTATTAGAGGTCCAGTTTATACATGCAGTGGTTCGTTCCAAACAAAACATGCTTAAACACGTCCCTGCCCTCAATGAATGGGAGCAGACACATTCTATTAGTAATACACTGGTCTTAGTCTCGTCACAGTGCCTTCCAACAACAACAACAAAGCTGACCTAAACACTGGCATCTGAGGGGATCTGCCGGGCTAGTTCAATTCCAGGCAGAGAGATCAGCAAAGAAGGTGATGGCAACTCTTTTTGGAGGAGTCCACAGGGACAATTTGATAGACCTTCTCGAAGGATACAGAATGATCATGGGGGCTTATTAGGAAGAAGGTTTTTGTTTTGTTTTGTTTTGTTTTTGGTGCTGAAACTGGTAGAAGAAGTTTGGTGAGAAAAAGCCCAGGAGCGTTGCACCAGGAATTTTCATCACAACAATCCACTGTCTCGTTTTTTTTGCAGATAGCAAGTGTTGGGAAATCTTACCCCATCCACACTTTGGCCCTGATCTTGACATTTCCCAAACTCAAAGAACACTCAATGGGAACACGGTTTGAGTTTCTCAAGGGTGCCTACACTGCCTTTTAGGTGTAATTCAGAGAGCACAGACTTCTTCGGGCTAGGATGAGGGAGATGAACACTTTGCCTTCAGAAATGCCTCATTGGATGATACAGTGAGACACAATAGCTTCACATTTTGGTGTATTTCCTAAATGTTTTTATGATTCTGTAGCAAGACTTTTTTTTAACTTATCTTTGTTTACATACAGTTTACATACAGCTACATCATTATAGCTACCCTGAAAGGCCCACTTCATAGATGGAAGAACTGTACAGTTCAAGTCAAGGTCAGGTCCTCCAGCTCTTTACATCAGTGCTTGCAAATTGGCAGCCCACAGATTCATCTAGCCTGTATTATCAGGGCTTCCTGTGATTTGCATGCTATTTTAAATATTAAACAATTTCCTATGAAATCCCAGATTTCTAACTGCTTTTGGAAAACCTAGATACCACAGAGCCCACATTTACTCCTCAAGAGGCTAAGTAGCTCCTGTCTCCATTAGACAAGGTATGCTAGGTCCATGTCCCACACCGTCCCACGCCCACATTCTTACACTGCAAGTGGTTCTCTGTTTTCCTTTTGTTGCAAGGACCTCAAAAGCATTTGAGTTGGCTTGAGTATGAGAGACTGCCTCATTGGAAAAAGATGGTTCAGAATGGAAATTGGAAGCTGTTAGACTATGTTCCTGGGAATGACCTCTACAGACATGGCCTTTGAGGTTGACGTCTTCCCGTGTGTGTGATGAGTACATGTATCCACTACCTTACAGATTTTGTTGTTGTTGTTGTCATTGATTTGGTTCTGATTCATGTAGTGACCCGATGCAGAACAAAAGGAAACGCTGCATGTCCCGGGCCATCCGCACAACTGTTCCGATGTTTGAGTCCAGTGCGCAGGCAGCCACCGGGTCAATCCATCTCATGGAGGGGCTTCCTCTCTTTTGCTTCCCCTCCACTTTACCCAGCATGATGCCCTTCCCCAGGCGCTGGTCTCTCAACTGGTCTCTCTGGGAGGGAGGAAGTCTCTCCTTGTCTCGAGGGAGCACTCTGGCTGGACTGCTTCCAACAGACTTGTTTGTCTTTTTAGCAGTCAGTCCGTGGACCCGTCAACATTCTCGTCCAGCACAATTCAAATGCACTGATTCTGCTTTGGTCTTCCTTATTCAATGTCCAACTTTCACATGCATGTGAAGCAATGGAAAATCCCATGGCTTGGGTCAGGGGCACCTTAGTCCTCAAAGTAACACCCTTGATTTTCGATGCTTCAAAGAAGTAGTGTGAAGCAGATTTACCTCAGGCTATACTTCTTTTGATCTTGACTGCTGCTTTCATGAGCACTGATTGTGAATCCAAGCAAGACAAAATCCTTGACAACTTTAACCTTTTCTTCGTTTATCAGGTAGCAAATGTACAACATAAAATTTGAAGCAAATATAGTGAAATGTTTAAGTAGGAAGGCAGTCAGCTCATAGGTGTTCCTTATGGTCTTTACGGCAACCGTCTACATGATTTAATAATTTATATTACATTAAAAAAATAAATTTTCAACTCAAGATTCTACAAAAAGAACAAAATAAACCCAAAGGTATAAGAAAGACATGAACAATGGTGTACATTAGTAAAAACTCAAATCAAACAAATCAAATGCTGGTTTCATAAATCTGACCAAGGAAAAAACACTCCAACAGGGCATACAAAACCAAGTGCAAAACTGAGATTAACTTTTTAAAAAATTGTCAGCAAAATGTTTAATTTTGTAATTAATTTGAAAAGGCAAGTGAAAATGGATACTTTTCCAGGAAAACATAAACTTATTGTCTGAAGAAGAAATTAAAAAATCAAAGCTAAAACTCCTAGATTAATAACCAGGGAAGATAAATATCTATCCATTAAAAAGGCATCACTCCTGAATGCTTTTAAAGATGCGTTTTTAAAAAACATTAAGGAATGGTCAAGGTATAGAGAAACAGCCTCATGCATTGTGGGGGGAATCTAGAAGCACAACACTGCTGTGGAAAACATGTAGGAGTTCACCAAAAACGGGTGCCTAGGAACCTTAGTACTCATGGTCATTGCATGGATTCCCTCACAGAAACCCTGTGGGACAGGTAGGACTGTGCCTGTGATTTTCCAAGGCTGTAAATCTCTATAGGAGCAGAGACACTCATCTTTCTCAGTAGAACAACTGGTGGGTTTGAACCGCTGATCTTGTGGTTAGGAGCCCAGTGCATAACCCATTATGCCACCAGACCTTCTGGGAACCTAGTGGCAATACTTTTTAAAACTTCTTCTTGCAAGACAAATGAAAATTTGACATGGATGAACATTGGAAGCATTATGCTAAGTGAAATAAATGACACAAAAAGGCAAGTAATGTATGATTGTATATAAATGACATCTAGACAGTTACATTTTTGGAGACAAAAAGCAGAGTGGTAATTTCCAGGGGCTGATGTGAGGTGGTGATGAGTTATTATTTGATGGGTACAGAGCAAAATGGGGTGATAGAAATGTTTTGGAAATAGTGATAATGGTTGCACAATATTGTAAAAGCAGTTAACAGCGCTGCATTATACACTTAAGAATGGTTAAAACGGCACACTTTATTATATATATTTTACCATTACAAAAGAAAAAGAATTTAAAAACAAAACCCTTAAGGAAGGCTTCATTTATTTATTTATTTATTTTTAAATCATTTTATTGGGGGCTCATTCAACTCTTATGACACTCCATCCATCCATCCATTGTGTCAAGCACATATGTACATATGTTGCCATCATTTTCAAAACATTTTCTTTCTACTTGAGCCCTTGGTATCAGCTCCTCATTTTTCCCCTCCCTCCCCCATCTTCCCTCTCTTATGAACGCTTGATAATTTATAAATTAGTATTATTTTTTTCATGTCTTACACAAACCGATGTGTCCCTTAACCTACTTTTCGGTTGTCCATCTCCCAGGGAGGGGGATATATGTAGATCATTGTGATCGGTTCCACCTTTCTCCCCCGACCTTCCCCTTACCATCCTGGTATCGCTACTCCGTTATTGGTCCTGAGGGGTTTATCTGTCCTGGATTCCCTGTATTTCCAGCTCTTATCTGTACCAGTGTACATCCTCTGGTCTAGCCGGATTTGTACGGTAGAATTGGGATCATGATAGTGGGGGGAGGGGGGCAGGAAGCATTAAAGAACTAGAGGAAAATTGTATGTTTCATTGGTGCTATACTACACCCTGGCTGGCTCGTCTCCTCCCTGAGACCCTAAGAAAGCCACAGTGTCCTTGCGTTCAATCCTACGCCATCCTCATACTTGTGTTTGCCCAATGTTGCACACACTGACAATCCATTTCGGTGAGGGTCTTCCTTTTTAAAAATTGTATTACTGACCTGCCACCTAGTCAAACGCCATGTCCTTCTCCGGGTCCCTCCTGATAATACGTCCAAAGTAGGTGAGACAGGTGTTACCATCCTCGCTTCTAAAGAGCATTCTGATGGTGTTAAGGTACCATAATACAGAACCATGGGGGTGGGGAGGATGTGCTTTATAATAGCAACAAAAATAGGGAAAAGCCTGAAATGCGCAAAACACTAAGAAAGAACAGGGGAAGACTGACAGAAACCACCACGTTATAACTGAATGAGAAGTCTCCATTTGTTAATGTTATCATCGAATGTGGGCGGCTTATTTTATACACACAGACCCCAGGAAGACTTTGCCATTAAAGAATTTGATCTCAGGGACTGGGCTTCTTCCCACCACGTGTAGATACCGACACCAAGAACTTTCCGGCGAAGTGGCACTGCGCCCCCAGGCCAGGGAGCAGTCGCCCGGGCGTGAGGGGCCGCTTCCGCCCTGGCCCGTCTCGCCCCGCCCCCGTCTCGCCCCGCCCCCGTCTGTGACGCGACAGGGGCTTCCGGTCGCTGACGCGCATGCGCACGGCCTCGCCGCCCTTGGCGTCCGCGCGCGCGGTCCGGCGTCAGGCTTTGCGGCAGTCACCGCCCAAGCTTCAGGTTGGGGATCTCGAGCCCCTTCCTCAAGGTTGTTCCCCTGCTGTTTCCAGTAAGTGACGGTCCCGGCCGGTGCTGGGGCTAGAAAAAGTGAGAGGGCAGACTGCTAACGGCAGCATCGGCGGTTACTCCCCGCTTTGCCCACCCCCAAACTTACTGCCACCCAGGGGACTCCCACTCAGCGTTTTCATCCAGAAACCTAGAGTGTGTCCGGGACGGTTAGGAGTGGCCGGTGGGTCAGCACCGCAGCCCATTGCCTAACCCGCTGCGCCGCCAGACTCCCTCATACCTCTCTCTGGTCCCTGGTCACTCGAAATGACCGCCGCAGCAGCTCAAACAGGCCCGCTCCCAGTCCTCCGGGTCACCCCAGAAGCTAGGCCCGTCCGCTAATGGGGCTCACGAGTGACTGCCCTCAGCGCCTCCCGGTCCACAGCACGAAGCTGGGACACACACTTCTCCCAGCGCCGAATCTCCCCGTCTTCCTCTTCCAACAGAAATCTCTACTGGGGACAATTTGAACGTCCCTTCTTAAGTCCCCTTCGTAGCAAAACTGAACAAAGGAGGAGCACCTTGTGTACCTGACCTAAGCGCTTCACGGGCATTGTTTCATTTAATCTTCCGAATAATCTGTTCGTAGTTGCACTCATTATTCACATTTTACAAAACAGAAAAATGGGGGCCACAGAAAAGTTCAAAATTTGCCCAAGGGAACATAGGGTAGAGTTGAAATTTGAATCTACTGTGTAGCCGACTCCAGCACTTCATCGTTCTCTCTCTCCAATATCTTGTAAAAGGGCATCACCCACCGGCAGAAGGGGGGCTTCAAAAAGTTTGTGGAAATTTTCCATTGTCATTGAATTTCAGGTGTCCATGACCTTCTTGAGGCCCCCTCACTCCGTTCTTCTCAAGTTTCTCTGAATGCTGTCTAGTGTGTCTCTGTTGCTGGGAATTGTTTTCCCTGAGGACTATCTTCTCAGACCTCCCGCTGGCCCTTGAGTGTTCACTTTTATCAGCTACACACTGAGCTTAATATTTGCTTCCAAAAATGTGCTCAATACTTCTTAAAATATGTACCCCTAACTGGAACCCACTAACCAGTCCCCTTTCCTTCATTAGGGCAGCCCTCATTATCACTAGCCAGGAGAATGGGTATGACACTTGCTAATGGGTTTTCAAAGAGCTCAGAGGTTTTGTTTCTGACCTCAAGGAGGCAAGACATTCATAAAAAGACTACAAAGCCCAGCAGATAACTGCCAAGAGTTGCATAGAAAGTACATTATTCTTGAATTTCTACTCGAATGACTAATGACATCAATTCAGTGCTGGACCTGTTTCTTCAGCTATAAAATAAGTTTAGTGCGATCATTAAAATTACGTGATTCTTAGGCTCAGAGGAAAATGATCACTCTATTACGATCTTGAAGAAATTACTGAAAATATGGGTGTTATAGCAGTGTGGTGGTGCCCAGCTATCAGAATAGTGTGTAGGGCCTTAAAGGCTTGTCTTCAAACAAGCAACCATCTAAGTGAGGAGTCAGCTAAGCCCACACAGAAGAAGCACACCAGCCTGTATTACCCAAGGTTTGGAAATAATAAAATCCAAATCTGGAAGAGGGAATGGTATCAGAGCTTAAATTCTAAACCCCCAGTTTGCAGAAGGCTATGGATGACAGTAGATCCCCAAAAGGCTAGCAGGGTCTCCCAAAAGGCATTAGCAGGGTCCCCACATAGATTAAGCCTCTGGTGATTCTCTTCTGACCATAGTCAAGGTACGTGAATGGTCTTGCTATCAGACAGAGAGCATTGTCAAGTTGATTATGGATGATGTAGTTAAGTTCAAATATAACATCATTTGATATCCCATTTTAAATTTATTACAGCTTTTAATATTTTCTGATTCCGTTTTGACTCAGAAGGTTCTGATTTATTTTGTCATTGTTGGGTTTTTGTTTTTACTTTATGTGATTTTCTGTATATGAATTTCAGGAGAGGTTAATCGATAGATACAGTAACCAAATTAATAATTACTTAGGGACATAGCAGGGGGAGATTGGAGGGGATGGGAACATCACAACACTTAGTACAAGAGAGAAGAAAATGTTCTAAAATTGTGGCAATGATTATTGCGCAACTCATCTTTATATAACGATTGAATTGTATGATGTGAATTATATGCCGATAACACTAGTAAAAATGATCACTGTATTCAGGTGGGAACTGTTTTGAGGTGGAATCGTGTGTTCTTGGTACAGAGACAAGGATTAGGTCATAGATTTCCCCTAGCACATTTTCATCCTTTTGCACATGCGATCGAAGTTATTGAGCCTGCCCTAGAAATACAATTCACAGTCATACATTTTCTACTCACAATTTTAGTGGCTTCTTGACACTGCCCTTGAAACGTACATGTCTCATAGAATGAATTAAATTTAAAAGGCAGATAGAATGAACTAAACTGTAAAAGGCAGTATGGAATCATTGGAAGTCTTAATAAGGTACATAAGTCTGGAAGTAGTGGGAACAATGAATTAGACTGGCAGTTGGACTAATTTAGGTAGGAAATGTTAAAGACTGTGCCTATTGATAGTGGAGGGAAATTTCAATAACAATTGGCAAGGACAAATCAAAAGGACTTGATATGTACCTGGATGTGGAATTGAAAACAGGAAGGAGTTACTGATAAGATTTGAGGTCTATATTGCTGTAGCTAAGCTTTCTCTACCTTGTCTTTAGTTTTAAATTGTTCTAGAACATTCTTCTAACTTAAATGCTCTAAGAAGTCTCATCAGACCCCACGGACATTAAGAAGGATAATGGAATACTACAAGCAATTTTATATCCATAAATTCAATAATTCAGATGACATGAACTACCAAGACTCACCCAGTGATGTTGTCAAAAGTCTCCTAAGAAGGTACTAATAAGTAGAATAGTCCTATAACTGTTAAAGAAATTGGGTTTATAGCTAAAAGCAACAATAACATAAAGCATCAGCCCCAGAGAATTTCACTGGTGAGTCTTACCAAGTATTAAAGAAATTATGCCAGTTGAAACTACTTGAAACAACATTAATATTATAAGAAAATTATAAGACAGGAAGTGCTTGCTTCATTCTAGGAACCAGTAAATATTATAAAACTTTGTAAGTAAAAAAAAAAAATTCAGTTAAAAAAAAAAAAATACCAATTACATACAGACGCTTAGAAGAAGAAAAAAACTTCCTAATTTATAAAGCCTGCATTATCCTGACACCAAACCAGATAAAAACAATAGAAAAATCCTTTTTAAAAATAGGTAAAAGCTAATAGAAACGCTGATAGAGACTGGTGGATCTCTTTAGACTGCTGACCCTTAGCGGCCTTGCAAACTTGAAACTGAACCACTGAACCACTCCTGGAGATCACCTTTCATCCAAGCAATGCACAGGCCTATCAAGTCCCAGACTCAGGTTGCTGCCACCAAGTTGCTTCTGACTCATAAGCGCCTGTGGGTTTCTAAGACTGTAACTCTTGGAAACCGGAGTAGAAAGCCCTATATTTCTCCCAAAAGCAGTGGGTGGTTTCAAGTTGCTGAAACCCACTACGCCACCAAGGCTGACAGTGAACCCACGGACGATGTGCTCAAAGCAATCAATATCAGACCAAATGGGAGGCTTTTGCCCCAGAACAAAGTTCAGAATGCAGGAAAGGGCAGAGAAGATGGGGGAATGGAAATGGGGAGCCGGGGAGGAAGTGGGAAGAGTTGCATCGGGGGGATTGTAACTAATGTCCCAAATCAAAATCTGCTTTGTAAATTGTTGAATGGGAAAAACTAGTTTGTAAACAGTTGCTGAATGGGAAACTAGTTTGTTCTGGAAACTTTTTCCCAAGCCACAGTTATAAAAAGGAAGTAGAATGTGCCTGATCAAAGGGATCTGAAGCAGGCTGCGGCTAGGCAAGACCTGATAGCACTGGCTTCACATAAAGCACGCAACAGTGGTTTCTCTGAACAGTGTGCCTCTTCTGCAGCTGTGCGTGTACACACAGCTAGGGCCTTTCAGGCTGCTTTCTCCTGGAATAACCTTCTGCATCCCTGGTAAGTGCCCAAACCTTAATAAATAAAAAGAGACGTGGTTGCACACATTCAGCCACCCTCATCTATAATCAGGCTGTATCAAACATTAATTCAGGATCCCTAGAAATCACAGAAATGGAAAGTTTTTATTTTATGGGAATGCTATTTTCACATACTAATAAAAGAAAGCCTTGGAATAAACATTCAATCTGAACACACACACACACACACACACAACACACAAAAAATCTAGTCATGGGTTAAAACCAGTGGTGGGATTAAAATAATTTCATAATTGGCTTGCTGTCCTAATGACCATTTTAAGTAAAAAAAAATTTACTGAAAAATAGCTTATTATTTCATACAGTTAATACTTAAGTAACAATAAAAGGCACACAAAACTAGATTGTTATGAGTTTGAAAATATTTAATAATACCTAAAGAAAAATTTAAGATCTTCATATTTTTTATTGGCACCCTCACTTGCAGTATTCTTTGCTTTTATCTGAGCATTATCTGCTGTGTGATTTATCCTTAACTATCTTCTCACTGTAAAGTCGGATCCCATTCCTTTAGCGGTAGGCCAATTAGACAATCATTGTTTTTGATAGGTTAGAAACAGGCAACTTCTCAACATATTATGTTCATTTTTTAAAAACTCCTTTCTACTGCTAACTTACAGCAATTATTCTGACAATACTTTTAGCTTTCTGAAGACTTTCAGGAATCACATAATTCATAATATCTCGTGGGAATTACGGCATAACAAAACTGAAGTGAGTGACAGTGTGTCACCCTCTGGTCGGTTGGCACTTTTTACTTTATGTGTCTTTTATTTAAAAATTTTTAAAGTATTCTTTTTAAAAGTTTTATTGGCATATACTTCACATATCATACAATTTAATTGTTCAATAATATTAAGGAGATTTGTGCAATCATTACCACAATCAACTTCAGAACGTTTTCTTACACTCATTGTTATTAGCTCCCCATTTCTCCCCATCCTCCCCTGCCGTACCCCTAGGTAATTATCAACCTGGTTACTGTCTCTGTAGATCTACCTATAGTAGATTTCATATACAGACAATCATAGAAAATACAAACAGGAAGGGAGCAAACAAACAAAACTCAACAATAGTGACTGAACAAAACATTGAAAAAACTCAGGCAAATAGAAAGTAGAATATATTAAAAATTGAAATGACTTAAAAATGGGCCAAAAGGGAGATAAAGTGATAAGGTATGTATTTCAACATTACTACATCTGCCGTAATTGACTTTAAAATTCTTTCTGACAGCAAGCCTATTTACATGCCTCCACTATGGTTAGAGGTGGATTTACTGGAGACTTGGTCTACATGGGGTTCCTGCAAATGCCTTTCGGGGTTCCACTGTCATCCATAGCCTTCTGCAAACTAGGTGTTCACAGTTTAAGCTATGATACCATTCGCTCCTTCGGATATGGGTGTTATTTACAATCCTTGGATCACACAGGCTGGTGTGCTTCTTCCATGTGGACTTCTTGATGCCTCACTTAGAGGGCTGCTTGTTAGAAGACAAGACTTTAAGACCCCAAATGCTACTCTTTCTGATAGCCAGACACAATCTTCACCATACATTGCTAATCTATTCATGACTTAAGTGTTCTTAAATTGGGCTAGAGGTATGTGTGAGCCCAAAATCCATTCATAGACCTATGCTTTATATATACCTCTGGTTCACTTTAGGGACAGCGTTATTTTATGATAGAGATCATAATAAATCACCCCGAGGAGCATAAGGTAATTTTAAACAATCATTTCATTGGGGGTTCTTAACAGCTTCTATCAAAATCCATACATTCATCCATTGTGTCAAGCACATTAGTACAAATGTTGCCATCATCATTTTCAAAACATTTTCTTTCTATTTGAGCCCTTAGTATCAGCTCATTTTTTCTCCTCCCCCACCCTCCCTCCCTGATGAACCCTTGATAATTTATCAATTATTATTTTTTCATGTCTTACATGGATAGCTGTCTCCCATCACCCACTTTTCTGTTGTCTATCCCCCTGGGAAGGGATTATATATAGATCATTGTGATCAGTTCCCCCTTTCTCCCCCCACCTTCCCCTTCTCCTCCTGGTATCACTACTCATTATTGGTCGTGAGGAGTTTATTTGTCCCAGATTTCCTGTGTTGTGAACTCTTATCTGTACCAGTATACATGCGCTTGTCTAGCCAGACTTGTAAGGTAGAATTGGGATCATGATCGTGTCAGGGGTGGGTGGGGAGCATTAAAGAACTAGAGGAAAGTTGTATGTTTCATTGGTGCTATACTGCACCCTGACTGGCTCATCTCTTCCTTGTGACCCTTCTGTAAGGGGATGTCCAATTGCCTACAGATGGACTTTGGGTCTCCACTCTGCACTTTCCTTAATTCATATTGATATGATTTTTTTGTTCTGGGTCTTCGATACCTGATCCCACTGATAGCTCTGATCACACATGCTGGTATACTTCTTCCATGTAGGCTTGGTTGCTTCTCAGCTAGATGACCACTTGTTTATCTTCAAGCCTTTAAGACCCCAGATGCTATATCTTTTGATAGCCAGGCACCATCAGCTTTCTTTACCACATTTGCTTATGCATCCATTTTGTCGTCAGTAATTGTGTTGGATACGGTAGGTGAGCATCCAGAATGCCAGGTTATTAGAACAAAGTGTTCTTGCATTGAGGGAGTACTTGAGTAGAGGCCCAATGTCCGTCTGCTACCTTAAAACTAAACCTATAAATGTATGTACATAGATCTATTTCCCTATCATAATATATAAATATATTTACGTATGTACATGCCTGTATTTAGACTTCTATAAATGTCCTTTGCCTCTTAGTTCTTTCCTCTATTTCCTTCTACTTTCCTCTTGTTCCACTATCATGTTTGACCTTTCGGCTTTCATTAATTCTTGACTACATTGCACTTGATCAAGCCCCACTAGGCATCCTATACCTGCCTCACCATTGATTTTAGATCACTTGTTGTTCCCTTGTCGCCAGATTTGTTGACTCCCCCTGTCCCTGAAATCTATTTTTGGGATTCTTCGGGGACTGCATTGCTTTGCTCCCCTTGCTGCTCTGTTGCATGCCCTTAGTGTTTCTCCCTGAGGTGGTGGGGTCAGATCGGGTGCAATTCTTGCACTGTGTCTCCAGTGTTGACCTCTGTAGCACTAAGGGTCAATAAGGGACCTTGTGTCTGGTGGTGGGGCTGGCCCTGTGGTCCTCTCTGTGCATTGTCTGCTCTGAGCAGGAGTATCATCCTTGGGGCTTGGTGGGCCATGATGTGTTCCACTCTCTGTTTCTCTTTCTTTCCTTCTTAGTTTGCTCCTGTGTGCTCTGATCAGACGCACCCCTCTCCTGAGCTGTAGCTTCAGTGCTGTCCTCTATAGTGCATTCTTTGGGGGGAGGTGAGGGGCCACGTAACTAGGTTTGGGGCTGGCCCCGCAGACCTCTCTATTGGTTCTCTATGGGTTTGTTTTCTGAAGTAACAAACACAAGAAATAAAAATGTAGTATTTTATCAAAGGTATAAAGAGTGTTATGAAATGAATAAATATTAGAAGCATAGTTCCCTCTAATTTTTATACCTGTGGATGGAATGAGCATTGCTATGAGTGCTTAGAATACACTGTTTCACAGATGAATGTTAAAAATGAGTAAAGAAATGTAAATTTGTGATTTACGCACCGGGTGGCTGCCCATCTTTGAGAGAACCCTGACTACAGTTGCCATTTTAACAACCGATTTGCTGAACAACCAAAAGTTAGGTGTCATTTCTGCCCAACCAGTAAGAACCAGCTGAATTCCACCGCTTAATATAGACCGTACTCCAAGGAAGCCTTCCTTTCAGCTCATTGGCACCTCATTTCAGATTGCACACTGGGGAATGGTTACATAATATCTGCCAAACCAGTGAGAACTATGTTCTAGTCAGGTTGGTGCATAGTCGTCACCTTGAAACTGAAAGAAATGACAGGGTCTCCAGAAGCGCTTAGTTTAAAGTGTGAAGAATCCCCTCACAGAAGGGTCACAAGGAAGGGATGAATCAGCCAGGGTGCAGTATAGCACCAACGAAAGACACAACATTCCTCTAGTTCTTTAATGCTTCCTCCTCCTCACTATCATAACCCCAGTTCTACCATACAAATATGGCTAGACCAGAGCATGTACACTGGTACAGATGAGAGCTCTTGACACAGGGATTCTAGGGCAGATAAACCCCTCAGGACTAATGAGAGCATCGATACCATGGGGGTAGGGGGAAGGTAAGTGGAGAAGGGGGGGAGAGGCGGAACAGATCACAATGATTGATGACGTACAACACCCACCCCCCTCCAGGGGCATGGACAACAGAAACATGGGTGAAGGGAGACAGCAAACAGTGTAAAATATGAAAATAAATTTAATTTCTAAATTATCAAGGGTTCATAGGTGGGAGGTTCGGGGAGGGAGGGGGAAAAAGAGCTGAGACCAAAGGCTCAAATAGAAAGAAAATCTTTGGGAAATGATGATGGCAACATATGTACAAATGTGCTTGATACAATTGATATAGGAATTATTATAAGAACTGTAAGAGCCTCCAATGCAAATGCTCTTTATAAACATGTTCCAAAGTAAGTGTTTATTAGAGGACGGATTTGGAGTTGTAGACAAATATAGCACTGAAGAAGTAATATTCTTGCTGACATCATAAGATTACATGAGATTTCTAAAGGATAAAGAATAATGTATTCTCAAAGCCCCATTCTATGCATATTCTTAAGTGTACTGAAGTTCAGAAACCACTGGACTAGATTATGCGAGGTGAGGACTGAGCCCTAGAATGGTCTACCATTAAGGGTGACAGGGAAAAACGGAGCCCAAGAAGGAAATAAGGGATGATGTGCCACAGCGAGCAGGGAGAAGACCCCAGAGGTGAAGGATAGCTGGCTGTCCTTGACTAGTGTTTCTCCTCGACAAAAAACCCAGTGTGATATAATGCAACCCAAGAGTGTCACTACATCTAGACCAAATGGCTGTTCATTCAGACCATGGTTTCCCAAAATGGGCATACTGCCCCTGTGGAGAGTGCTAGAATGATCCAGGGGGCTGCAACAGCAGATACCTACCCTTTATCCTGGAGCATGGGTTGTGCTGCAGAAGTCTTTCATTGCTATGGGGCACTGAGCAATTGTTTTCTATAAATGGGGCTGTAGATCAAATAAGTTTGGGAACCTATGAAAGACTATAAAGCAAAGTTCTCTATAAATGGTTCTTATTTTTACTTTATATGAGATTTTTTTGTTTTGTTTATTTATTTATTTAATAAGATTTTTATCAAGGTTATGAACACATTCCGTTTTTGTTGTGCTAACGGCTACTCAAAATTAGCTGTGTGAAAGGACAAATAAAAATGTTTACTGTTGTGTATTAATGGTATAAAACCACTTTGTGAATAAATATAAATAATACTTGGCCCTCCTTCCATTCATTATTTAAAACAACCCATTTCCATTTTATTTAACATCGCTTTGATTTTTAAGTTCTCTAATAACTTGTCACTATTCTGGTTTTGTAGACATGGCAGGCAGGTTTAATAGCCATGGATAAAAAGACCACACAGAGAAGTCCAGAAGATGCCGGCGCCGGCAGATACGGAGGTAGGAAGGAGTTTGTAATCTCATTTAAACCTGTCAGGTAGTTTAGAGTATGTTATTAATTATCGTTCGCTGCTTTCCATATCTTGCTAATGTTTGAGAGCTCAATTCTGTTACCTTTTGTATCTCTCTAAGGTAAACAAGCAAAAAAGAAAAAACAAAAGCCAAAACAAAACCACCAACGATCCCGCCACAAATCAACAGCGTCTCACTCTTCGGATGACGGTATATTTCCTTCCTCTTCTTGCACTTCGTCAGAAAGCCAGACAGATTCAAGTTGTGAAGGTATGTCCATCAACCTGTTAAGGCGTTTGCATGGATCACTCGGATGATTTAGAGAAACAGTTTATTGAGCCTGCTACATAACTTCTTGCTTAACCATTGTTTATTGAGCATGCTTCTTCATGATGTGCTGGGCATCATGGTAAGCAGTGGCATGATCCTGGTAGCTGAAAGAATACAAGTAAAAAACCTCACTGATTCGGACCAATTCCATTCAGGGAGCTGTTGTTATTCTAGTAGGTGATTAAAAACAATTGTCTACTTTGATGCAGACATGAGCTGGCATGTGCTTGACCAGGGGATAAGCAAAGGCCTTAGAGTTGAAAATATAGTGAAATTGACAGGTGGATGATGAGTACGGTGTTTTCCAGGTAAAAGAAGGGCAATAGAGGTCATGAGGGTTTACTACAAGCTAAAGAAATCACCTATGCTAACATATTAACATTTTAGTTTCTGATTCTTTTCAGCAATATGCTCCTATGTCTTTACTTAATCAGTGAACTGATCAGTTTTTGTTTGAAAGCAAAGGAAACTGACTGATGGATTTAAATGGGAAAAAAGTTATTAAAAGGAATATTGAGTAACACAGAATTTCCAAGAAACCTAGAGAAATAGTCTTGAATATGGACAAAGCAAAGTGAAGCTGGCAGCCAGGACCACAGACAAAGCTGTGCCATAGAACTAAGTCTAGTGAGGGTGCCCTGCTGCACTGCCACTACTGAGCCGAGAGAGCTCAACTTGTACCACCAATGCCATTACATGTCACTGCTTATCACTCCCACTGCTACTGCAAGACACTGGATATTTCTAGAATGGATTCTTCACTGTATCTGCGGCTTTATGTCATAAGGCTCCTAGGCATTGGTTGACTGGGCCTAGACCACATGCTCATGTTTGAATTGTAGAGGAAGCTGAGAAAGTTAGTAATGGTCTTTCCAGCATGGATAGTGGGAAGCTTATAGAGTAGCATTAACCAAAAATAGGGAGAACAAAAAAAATCAGAAACTGAGCATTCCCTTTTTTGTTTGCCCACTGCCTCTTGATCCAGGCACATGTTCCACCTGAACACAATGAAGACTTCTGGAATCCCCATTCTTCTCAAGGCTATTCATAGCTTGTTATGATTCACACAGTCGACTGCCTTTGCATAGTCAATAAAACACAAGTAAAAGTCTTTCTGGTATTCTCTCTGCTTTCAGCTAAGATCCATTTGACCTCTGTGATGCTATCCTTTATTCCACATCCTCTTCTGAATCTGGCAGCTCCTTGCCAATGTAGGGCTGCAGCTGTTGTTGGATCATCCTCAACAACACTTTTCTTTCAGTGACTTCCATGATACTATTCTATAATTTGAGCATTCTCTGGGGCCACTTTTCTTTGGAATGGGTAAAAATATGAATCTCTACCAGTCAGTTGGCCAAGTAGCTACTTTCCAAATTCCCTGGCATAGAGGAGGGCGTGCTTTTAGTGCATCATCAGCATGTGGAGACATTTTGATTGGCATTCCATCAATGCCTTCAATGCAGCTTGGACTTTTTTTCCTTCAGTACCATTAGTTTTTGATCATATGCTACCTCTTGAAATGGTTGAATATCAACCAGTTATTTTTGATACAGTAACACATGTATTCTTTTCCCTTTTTAAAACAATTTTATTGGCATATAATTCACACATCATAAAATTCAGTATTTCAATGAGATTAAAATGAGTTGTACAATATCACCATAATCAATCTTAGAACATTTTTTTCTTTTGTATTCATTGTTATCAGCTCCCCATTTCTCCAACTTTCCCTGCCAAACCCCCAAGAAACCATCAATCCAGTTATTCTCTCTAGATTTATCTTTCCTGGATTCCATATATGGTAAAACATTAAAAAACAAAAAAACAACAATAATAACAAAGTAAAGTATAGGAACATCTCAATCAAAAAGAAAGCAGAAAATATTAAAAACTATAACACATTTAAAAGGGGGAGATCAAATCCATTTTCAGGGTTGGTCCACACATGGAATATGCGTACAGTGAATCCCCTCTGACCATAGTCAAGCCTTCTTATCAGAATTGTAAAGTCAATTGTGACACATATAGTTAGATTAATATGTAATTCCTTATCATTTTATTTCCCTTTTGACACATTTATTTATTTTTAAATAATCATTTTATTAGGGGCTCATACAACTCATCACAATCCGTACCTACATCATTTGTGTCCAGCACATTAGTACATATGTTGACGTCATCATTCTCACAATACCTGCTTTCCACTTGAGCCCTTGGTGTCAGCTCCTCATGTTCCCCTCCCTCCCCACTCCCCACTCCCCTGAACCCTTGATAATTTATATATTATTATTATTTTATCAGATCTTAGCACATCCAATGTCTCCCTCACCCACTTCTCCGCTGTCTGTCCCCGAGGGAGGAGGCCATATGTAGATCTTGTCTTCTGTTTCCCCTTCCCTTTTGACACATTTTAAAGATGTTTCAGTTTAAAAAAACGTGAAGGGGAAATAACATGCCTTAAGCCTCTGGTGAATCCTCTCTGACCACAGAGCAGGGATATGAACATCCTTGCTGTCATGAAGAGTGTATTGGAAAGCGTATTATTACAGATGTAGTTACATTAAAATCAAACACTATCATTTGATCTCTCTTTTGACCTTCCATCTTCTTTTGACACTTCCTGCATCAAAATATTCAACTGCGCTCATCAGGAACTCACATAGATCAAGAAGCAGTTATGTGAAGGGAACAAGGGAATGCTGCATGGTTAACAATGGGAAGGGTGTGCATCAGAGTTGTATCCTTTCTCCATATGTATACAGTCTTTATTTGCTGAACAAATAAACAGAGAATCTGGATTATATGAAGAAGAATTTGACATCAGGATTGGAGAAAGGCTTATCAACAATGTTTGATATGCAGAAGTCACTACCTAGCTGAAAGTAAAGAGGACTTGAAACCCTTGCTGATCAAGGTCAAAGACTGTAGCCTTCAGTATGGATTACCACACAATGTAAAGGAAACAAAAATCCTCACAAATGGATCAATAGGTAACATCATAGATAGATAGAGAAAAGATCGAAGTTGTCAAGGATTTTATCTTGCTTGGTTTCACAACCATTGACCAGAGAGCTATCAATTGTGGAGGCATTGATCAGGTGACACATTGCATTGAATCTGCTATACAAGACTTCATTAAAGTGTTGAAAAGCAAGGAAGTTACTTTGAGGACTAGGTGTGTCTGACCCAAGCCATGGTATTTTCAATTGTCTCATGCATTTGAAAGTTGGACATTGAATAAGGAAGATTGATGTATTTGAATTTTGGTGCTAGGGAAGAATATTGAAAGTATCATGGTCTGCCAAAAGAGCAAACATCTGTCTTGGAAGAAGTGCAGTCAGAATGCTCCTTAGAGACAAGGATGGCAAGACTTTTCATCTCATGTACTTTAGACATGTCAGGAGAGACCAGTCCATGGAGAAAAATATCCATGCTTGGTAAAGTAGAAGGGCAGAGAAAAAGAAAACGGCCCTCAACAAGATAGATTGACACAGTGGCTGTAACAAGGGGCTCAAACATAAGAACAATTGTGATGATGCCACAGGACCATCCTTTTGTGCTTTGTTGCATTGCTATTAGTCAGAACCAACTTGATGAGAGTTAACAACAATACCAAGGCAGTCACCATATAGCAAATCTATTGAGTAGCAATATGTAACTACTCTTATCTCATTCTACCTTGATTTTCCCTTTATTATTGTTGTTGTATTTACAGATATATGTCACTTAACAGCCATTTGGGCAATATCCTGCTTTATATATCTATGGTTCCATAACAAATGTGGGTCATAACAAATTATGGATAACATCATTAAGAATGGGAATTCCAGCACATTTCATTGTGCCCCTGAGGAACCTGTATGTGGGAAGCAGAGAACAGGAAGAGGGTGTATATGGATGAATCCTTTATTCTGATATATAAAGAAGCCTGGCAGGGTGGGATTCTGGGATTGAGGAAGACCTTCACCCTTGTGAGTTGGAGATGAGTCCCAATCACATTCTCATAATTAACGTTGTTCCTTACTATATCCTCCCATAATTGTGCTGCTTTGAAGTTAACTCTTACAAACACATGGCTGATTGCCAGCTAGCCAGCGGCTTTCACTACAGAGGCAGGCATATGCTATTGCTCTCTAGGCTCCGAAGACAGCCACTTCCCCTTAGCTGCCCCAGGCAGGTTATGTATATGATACCTGTGCCCCCCCACCCCCCCACCCCCCAGTGTATGTAAGCCTTGGCTGGAAATATATTCTCTCTCTCTGCATGGACCTGGCTTCTGAACTCATGGCGGTCCCAGAGGTAAGCACTTGCATGCCTTATCTTGTCTGATGTCTCTTTAATTTTACCCCTCAATTACACAATCGTCGCTTGGGCCCGTTTGATTGTGGAGGCTGGAATCCCACACCTATACGTAGAGGAAGAGGCAGTTTTTCAAATAGAACAGGGTGGGTACTGCATGTTTTGAAAACCTGTGTGACAAGGTTGTGTCTTTTCTCCATACCTACTTAAACTATATGCTGAGCTAATAAATCAAGAAACTGGACTATATGAAGAAGAATGCAGTGTAAGATTGGAGAGAGGTTCACTAACAGCCTTCAATATGCAGATGATACAACTTTGCTTGCTCAAGGGGAAGAAGATTTGAAGCACTTAGTGCTGAAGATCAAAGATTATAGCTTTCAGTATGGATTACACCTCAACATTTAAAAAATGAAAAATGTCACAACAGGAATAACAGACAATATCGTGAGAAAAGATTGACATTGTCAAGGATTTCATTTTACTTGGAATCACAATCAAGACTGATAGAAGCAGTGATGTATAGCACTAGGAAAATCTGCTGCTGCTGCTGCAAAAAAAGTCTTTTAAAGTGTTAAAGAACAAGGCTATCACTCTGAGGATAAAGGTATCCCTGACCCAAACCATGGTATGTGCATTCT